CAGTTGATTATTGACATCATGTATACATTATTCTTTTATTATTATTATTACACTATTGTTTGTGTACAGTAGTTTATCATTCTGAAATGAGATTTCTTTTGAGAAAAAAAAAAGAAAAAAAACTATGTGCGCGCGCGTGTGTGTGTATGTGTCTGTATATGCGACCATTGTACATTAAATATATTGTGTATATTTGACTTATCAATGTTCATTATTCACTATAATAATGTGTATTACATTCAGTTCAAATAGAAATATTCTTCTTTTGTTTTGTTGTTTAAATAAATGAATTTCTATGCATATTACTGAATATTTTGCATAGAATAATTAGTACATTCTTAAATGGAATCAATATCTAATATATTAGATAATGTAGGTCATGAATATAATGAATGAATACAAGCATTTGATTGTATATAGAATTAATTTATGGTTAGCGTTTCTTTTTAGCAAGTTAGTTTTCTACGGGATGGGGTCGTTAACCCCATACCCAACCCTCCTTCTTTACCCGGGCTTGGAGTCGGCAGTAGCCCCAGATAGGCTCCAGGCGGAGTTAGGGATAGGACACACGTTGAGCAAAGCACTCAACTGCGTCACACGGCAAAGCCCTCACATGATATCCTCAAGGTCAAAGGAAAAGTGGAAGACCAAAGAACACATTAGGTCGAGAAATGGAGACAGACATGAGGAAAATTCGATAGAACTGGAAAGGAATGCCCAGGACAGAGAAGGGTGATCGGCGACCTATGCTCCATTGGGAGTAACAGGCGTAAGTAAGTAAGAATTGATTTCATCATGAAATAACATTGAAAAGAAAGTGAATTGCAAAATTGCTTTATTGTTATATTCGTTACTTGATTAACACAGAATACGGTAATACAACTACAACACTCAAACATTTAGAAACCTGCAATCGCAAAAAAGTCAGAATACAGAAGAAAGCTAGAGAAGTGTTTGTTCGGTAAGAATCAAAAGGTACGGGAAATCGTGCATGTTTATAGATATTAGCGTTTGTTATAAAAACGCTATAATTCAGTCAACCCGTAAAGAGGCATGTAATGCTAATGTTTAATGGTAACATGCCACGTTGATATCCTAGAAAGCTCCATTACGTTCTGATTAGATGGGAACTCTTCGACTTCGTTGTAGTTTTCGGAAGCCGTCTCAACACCTTTTAGTTCAACGTTCGTTAATGTGATAAATGAAATTCTAACATCTTGATAGCTATGAGTTAACCATGTAGAACAAAGATAACTCCGTATATACTTAGCTTGAATTGTAAAGTGTAGTGATAGATAACTTGTATACTGTTATTAAGATGATGATAATTAATCCTTGAAATGCCCAGAATCAATAACCGAAATTGAAAATTTAAATTGGTTCTTAAACTAAACGACAAGACATATCCTCTGTTTAGGCGATTTGTATATTAAAATACTTAGAATACCATCCGAACTCTTGATATATGGAAATGACGTTTCTCCTTTGGATTGATTATTTGAACCAAGACTGTTATTTCACTCTCATTTTATTGCCATTTATAGTTAGTTGTTTGGTAAATATTCAAAGTTTCCTGGTTGTGTGATAAGTCGCCCAAGGTCGTCAGCATATTATGCATCTATCAGACAGGGGTTTTTATGAATATTATAGTAATTTAATAGTTGAATTCATGAGTCATTTAAAGCTGCTTCACCATGGAAAACCTGGGAGTATTGGACGGCTGTTTCGTCCTAGTTTGGGTCTCCTCAGTAATGCGTATCCACGATCCCGCTCTTGGGATTCGAACTTGTCATACTTTTACCGAATAATGTACTAAATATATGAAAGTCAGAAGCTTTAAGTAACTTTATACTACTTAGTTGATTTCTACATACCCGTCTGATCAGTTTTATGTAAAGTGTAAAAATCGAAAATTTTAAATACACGACGTTGTAGCTGAACTTCTCTGTGCATGTTTCAGCAAATACATATTGTTTATTATTAAAGGCGGTTATATTTGATCACGATGTGTTGATTATATGATGTTATGACATTAAAATTTTCACTGGTGTTGTTGACGGGTCAAAATGTCAACTAGAGTTGTAGTTATTCCTAATTTGACAAAGTAGCTCTTTTTTCAAATATAGAAGTACACTTCTGATACTTGCTAAACTCAAATAATAATTGAAAGAAGACTAAAAGATTAGTGAGATTTCTTGCTGAACAGTGATAATGCTGATGACTTAGATTTGTATTGTATGGGTGAGACGAAATAGTTACTGCTTAATATTCTAGACAGATGGGTAGATAGTCTCACAGATATTTGATGTACCATATATGTTCCCCTACTCCTTATATTTACTTCAATGTTGGCTAACATACGTACTAGTCAGAGGTATTGCATGTTCTTCATTTGAGTTGTGTGGGTTCCTGATACATTAAACCTGGCTGGTATCTAGTATATAACTAGTGAGTCGTATAGGTTGATAAATTGTTCGTCCCAAGTACTTTAGTATGTTGTTTGTTTAGTGACTGTTTAAAACCGATCTACGTTCGTTTATCTAGTTAAAGTGGGTTTTTTTTATCAATAAAATGAATAGTCTACAATCCTTTTAGCAACAGTAAAATGATCTGATTGAATTGTTGGTCAAGAATATGTCGACATCTTCAATGATCTTTGTATCCAGTTCGACTACAACTTTGGATACCATTGCAAATTCGATAAGTCAATTTACGTTTAATCGAGCTACAATTACTTTTGATGCATGGTTTAAGCATCATGAGGATTCGTTTATGAATGATTGTAAAAATTGGGATGAAATCAGAGAACAGATTATTGCGAAAACCTAAGGTTTCTGAACATTAAAAGTTTCGTAATTTTTATTCTTCCGGAGAAGCCAGGTGACCTAACTGTCATGGAAATAGTAGTGCCTGACACGTATATTTGAGGAACGATCATCAATTTTTGTGTATGGGTTACGACCAACGGACATCAGAACACATATTTCAGAGAGGAACGATGTAGATCCCAATATCACTGTACAAACAACGTTGGGGGGATGGATGATTTGAAGCACGATACACATTTGATAGAGAGTAACTGTGCACATGAAGGAGTTGTGTTGCGAGTCTTTCATGTGTGTGGTAAAATTAAGCAAAAAACTGCTGACTTTCAGAATGAGTTTCGTACGGAAAATCTCACTAGGAATATCACTAATTCTAATGTTGTTCTAGCCATACAGGGTACTCAACTCTCGTTGAACAGAAAATACGTAACCGTTTACTTTACAGGATTCCGTATAACAATAGTTTCCAGAGAGACTTGGATAAAACTTAGCCGACAAAAATTTCAACCTACGCCTTATAATGATAATGTTAAGTTACTGTAGTAGTAAAAACTGGACACTTAATCATAGAAACACAATGCACAGCAGCTGATTGAAAAAATATTTGTTCACCGTTTTGTTTTCTAAATTTCTTAGTGTGAATAATTTCCGTACATATAATTTATTAAAACATGTCTTTGAGCGTACACCCAAATTGGTGTAGACAGTTGATGATAACATGTTACTTGTGAAACAGAAATAAGCTAGTTTAGCAACGGTGTGTTCTCCTTTAAGTGAAAGTCTTTATTCTGTTATTAATGGGGCTAGCAATTTTATTATCGGGGAAGAAGTTCGACGAATATATATAAATACGTCAAGAAGAATGATTATTTGTCGTACAATATTGTTTGATCTTTACAGTCGAGTGTGAATTGCTGGATTAGTAGGCCAACTTCTTGACACCACGTTTAAAGATAAGTAAGCAGAAACAACGGTAGTCAAGTTGGTGCATACTTTTCTGACGAAAAATATCTCAACCTCACACCTTCCGAGCATGATCCACAATAGTTTTCTTTTAGCCAGTTAATCACTGTTTACGAAATCTTTGACACAATACCATTACCTACTTGTTAACTTTCCTACTGACAACTAATTGGAGATCCCCTATAATTACTTTCCCAGAATCTACATGATAGACTGCCGTTTAGTTAGACAACTATTGAAAACTAGAATGAGCTACATAGCAATATGAGGTCATGGATAAGTACGTACTACGAACAAGAGAGAACAGTCTATTCAATGCTTTTTGGTTTTCAATATAGCTGTTTAACTAAAACCAATCCATGATGTATTACACTATGAAAGTTTAACACTCCCAATAAATCTTTCACACGAATACGTTTTCTTTTCGTTGATTAATCTAGGTGAAAGTATAGAAACGAAATGTATTTTCTTTTTTGGCATTTTATAAAAAAATATACATCAGAATGACATATATATTTATGCTTTTTCTTCCTGGTCCACCAGGGTGCTTGGTACCTGAGTGGTTGCGCCACAGGATTGAGCTGTACTATTCAGATTGTAGCGTTAAAGCAAATACGGTGCCTGGTTCTCCTGTTAAACGGGATTGAGCTGTATTGTTTGGGTTGTCACGTGAAAGTCCGGATGGTGTCTGGTTCTCCTGGAAACCAATGTGAAACTACCCTGGCACACAAGAGTATATTATATAACAGTGGGTCCCAAATGTCCTGGTACGGCCGAGAGTGGGGAGAGTCAGCTCTCCCTCTCCAAATGCTCTCACATGGCCACGCGTATATAACCTCTTCCAGGGAAGTCCTACTCACTCCCTTCTCGCGGCATCATTGTTTACGAAATCGACAGTACGAAAAACGAATGTCTGGAGCTTAAACCACGTTGGTAGACAAGTAGGGTCCACCTAGAGGAGTTGGAAAACCCTGATTCCAAACCAATGGTGCACATGGGCTCCAGTATCCTGAAGAAACAAATGGCGTATGAACCAATTGTTGGTCACCGGCTACCGTGAGACTGCATCTCCTCACGATGCCTCACTGCCTTGTGGGTCAGACCTTTGGGTCAAAGGCTCGGGGAGTGGCCCCCTAAGAAAGCAACCTGTTTTGGTCTGGGCACCCGGGCAGTATCACAGCCCACATACAAAAGTTTGGCGCATATATATTTGGTGCCCTCTTGTACCAATATTTATGTCTTTAAATAAATAAATAAATAAAAACAGAGATCACAATGAATAATAAAAGTTCAATAACAATCATAGTGATATTAATGATGCATAGAATGATTATGTGCTAAAGAAATTAAAGAATAAATGGTACAATTGCTTTTCGATTTTTTGGAAAATCTGTGAATTCACGACGATACGCTTTCAATTTATTAATAGCCCATACACTCATTTGACGAAATCCACAAATAGTAAATATAAGAGCTAGAATAAATGAGAAAATTAACAATTTAAAGTGTTTGGGGATTCTTCAACAACAACAAAAATGTTTTGATATGTAGAATGATTAAACCTTGTTAGTAACTAAACAAAGTGTACAATAATTGTGTATTCACTGATGACTAAGCTTTGATCCAAAGGTTTCGGATGTCTTGATATCATGAGGACTCCGTCGAACTATATCGATTGGAACATCTATTCTTAAAGTCCTACTATACCAGGTAGGTCAGCTGGAGAATAGTATGATTAAAAACAACAAACTCAATCCAGGAACAAATTTGTATTCCTAACTATACAGGGGCGAGATGGAAGTAACTTGCGTTCATGAGAAAATCAGTATCAATAGGGATGTTACCTTCCCATAACAGAAAGGATTATAAAAGGTCGAATCTGAAATTAGAACATATCCTCATGTCCTACAGATTTCCACCGCCCACAGAATGGCCTTTCGGAGTACGAGGTTAAGATATTTTAAAATTATTCACAGAGAGACTGACCGATCCTAAGCATCTGTTATTTTTGAATTGTGACCACTTAGTCAGACCATCAAGCATATCGGTACCCTATTTTCCTCTTCAAGTCCTTGGAATCTTGGAGAGAAACGGAAAAAAGGAAGGCCGAAGAACGCACTGCGTCGGGAATTGGAAGCAGATATGAAAAGGATCAATAGCAACAAGAAAGGCTTGCCCAAGACAGAGTTTGATGGAGAATACTGGTCGAAGGCCTATGCTCCTCCACGAGGGGTAACAGGCGTAAGCAAGTAACTTAAAACACATCACCAAATACATTTGGAAATATAAAATAAATCTGATTGACTAACACTATATTGAAAGTCAAAAAATTAGCAACTGACCTGGTAATGTTTGTGTCATAATAGTAAAACCAATCCATGATATAATTTCATAAGTGTAATTAGGACATGCCACTAAATTAAACATCCGAGTACATAACCAACCATCCATTGGATAAGGTATCTGTCGAACTTTTGAACCAGCTGGTCGAAGTCGTTTAAATGCTAAATGACATGAAAAGTTTCCCCATTCACCAATCTACAGTACGATAAAATGTACACAAATGTGATTAACATCATAAGCACAAATGTATACAGTTGAACACTATAAACTAATGATGTAACACTAAAAGCTCCATTTGAAATGTTTTAAACTAACTTATTTACAGGACAGTTAAAGAAGTGAGACACTCTAAGTGTGAAGGCTAATGACGCTAATCGGTTGCATAAACCAAAGTAGGTGGAGCACAATTTGAAGCTGGAACTTAGTGACCACAAATCGAAGGTTTAGGGAAAAAACAATCATTTAGTGGTTTCACAAGCATAAAATCGTAGTCGTTCTCGGTTACAAATCTGTCAAGTTCATTTTGGAAACCCTTTGAACGTCATTGCTCGACAGATTAAGGCACAACAAGTTGGATCTTTAGACGAATAATTAAATAACACAAATTTATACACGTAATGTTATTATGCTTTCTGTTCAGTTCTTATTACTATATACACATTTATGACCACTGATAGCTTAATGGTTAAAACAGTAGGGTTACAATGATGCAATTTGAAGTTTGATCCCCGTAACAGCTTCACTAACGCTTATATTGAAACTCTGTGGCCTGAAACTGAGTAAATGGAACTGTATTTGATAATCAGTCAGTCAGCTACAACGTAGGACCGGGCACATATGTGCATCGGCACAGGTTGCCATACCGCATCAGCACACAAGATAAACACCGGATTCATAGCAGTGGTTAGGTCAAAGGTGGTAATATATAAGAGAAAGATTGCATATAGAGATATAGTACAAGAAGAAAAAATTGGTTCGTAGAAAAAAAGATATGAAGCGATTTTAATCTCTTAGTTTAAGGGAAGACAGAGAGTGTATACACCGACGCCATTGTGATCGATTCTGAGCCATGTCACCAAGAGTCTCCAACCATTGGTTACGAAAGTCACGCGGACCCCAACCAAGTAGTCTGCATCTACCAACATGGCTCAGACTAGAAGTTAGTGACTTCAAGCACTGATGCCACGTTTTGGTTTGGCCGCCCCTAACTTTCTTCCAACCATCTCCAATACCGGTTAGCATTGCACGTCGTGGTAATCGGTGTTCAGGCATACGTAACACGTGGCCCAACCATCTCAGTCGATGAAGATTCATAACCTCATCAACTGATTTACCATCATTCCCTAATACCCTGCGTCTAACCTCACTATTACTTACCCGGTGATCCCAGCAGACGCCAGCAATATTTCTAAGGCATCTGTGGTCAAATACTAGTAGCTTACGAGTGTCTTCTACTCTTAATGGCCATGTTTCGCTGCCGTAAATTAAAACAGAACGGACTGCCGCGCAGTATACTCGTCCTTTTATTGATAGACGGATATCTCGCCTCCGCCAAAGGTGACGTAAGTTGGCAAAAGCCAAACGAGCTTTTCGAATCCGTGCTGAGATTTCGTCAGACACCAACCCATTAGGGCTGATCAGACTTCCAAGATAAGTGAAGTTGTCAACGCGTTCGACTACTTCACTCCCTATCCTTAGTTCAGGTGTTGACGCAGACCAGTCCTGAAGCAACAACTTGCATTTAGAGGGAGAGAAGCGCATTCCAAACATTCTGGCATTGTTGCTTAGTGCTACCAGAAGACTCTGCATTTTGTCAGCGTCTTCACCAAACAGGACTATGTCATCTGCGTATTCTAAGTCGATAAGTGGACCTCCTGGATGGAGATCAATACCCGAGAATTCAGTCGACGAGAAAGTTATTTCCATCAGTAGATCTATGATGAAGTTAAACAAAAATGGGAAAGTGGACAGCCTTGACGGACACCACTTGAGGTTGCAAAAGTAGATGACAGTTCGCCATAAGCCCTGACTCGACTAGTAGTGTTCGAGTAAAGAGCCTTCACAAGGTTTATGTACTTCTGAGGTACGCCTTTCAATGACAGACACTGCCACAGAATCTCGCGGTCTACAGAGTCAAGAAAGACCACCATTGTCGGACGCCGATAAGTATGCCTGTGTTCTAGAATCTGACGAATGGTGAATATGTGGTCGATGCAGCCACGACCAGGTCTGAAGCCAGCTTGGTTCTCTCGTGTTTGCAGTTCACGAGTCTTAGTTAGGCGTCTGATAATTATCGAGGCTAGTATTTTAGATACTATATTTGTTAAACTAATCCCTCTGTGGTTGTCACAGGATGATTTTGACCCTTTCTTATATATTGGGACGATAAGTGATTGTGACCAGTTAGATGGGATAACGTCTAACTCCCAGATCTTAGCTAAAATATTAGTCAACCTAATCGCTAAAATTGGACCACCATCCTTAAAGACCTCTGGAGCCAGTCCATCTGGACCAGCTGCCCTTCCTCGTTTCAGATTAACTATAGCCTTTTGAACTTCAGCAAGAGTTGGGGGACCTACTTCAATGTTCCATTCACGCTGTCTGGGAATGGAGGGTAGTTGTAGAGTAGCTGAAGGCCAGTTGAACTGTTCTCTGAAATGTTCCGCCCATCGTTCTAAACGTCTGGACTAGGAGCAGATGAGAGTATCGTCTTTTTCCGAACCTATTTTTGGTTTTCTCGCTACTCAATTCAGTTCTAATGGGTCTTTTTAGTGTGGATATTTGCGTCCAGTGAGGCGCAAGCAGATGCGTGCCCGTATCAGGGCGTGGTCGAAGTCCAAGCAGGTACTCCAGAATGAGCGACAATCTTCTATCGACCCTCTCCAACGATGACTGATGGCAATATAGTCTATTTGAGTCCATCGTTAGTTTGGCGTAGGGGGTCGACATGTTAGACGATGTCTCTCCTTAAAATTTGTGTTTGCTAAAAATAAACGATTATCTGAGCACAGTTGCAGCAGACGATCACCATTATTTGTTCGTAGTGCCGGAATACTAAAATATCCACCTAAATGCCTTTCTGTTTGGTTTAAACTACCTATCTGAGCATTAAAGTCACCTGCTACGAGTACTATGTCTGAGCGTTTAGCTTTCTGAAGAAGTTCAGAAAGCTTTCTGTAAAATTCATCTTTCACATCATCTGAGCTGCAGTCAGTGGGAGCGTAGGCAGAAACGACGAAAAGGCAACGACGTGTGTCCCTATCCTTCCGAGTTCTTACGGAGCCGTTTAGCCGAACAGCACATGGACGACTGTTGACGGGGATCCACTCTAGCAGTGCTTGTTCGGCCCTCATGCTTAGTGCTATGCCTACACCTGCCAGTTCACGAGAACTGGCCATAGGGTGTATCTCGTTGGCTCTCCGTTTTGCCAAAGTGAGGTCAAGTGGATGAACACACTGGCATCCTGTATGCGTGTTTCGGAGACACAGCATACATCAATGGAAAGAGACTCTAGGGTTTTAGCCAAGGAAGCCTGCTGACCGATTTGACATAGGGTATGTACGTTGAAGGCTCCAATGTGTAGTTTGGAGCGAGGTTTCAGTAGACCTGGGACAGTGTTTTGAGCACTAGAATCGTTGGCTATGGTGACACTTGAGGAGGAAGCCGAAAGAGGAAGTTTAGAGTTGAAAGTCGATGTAGGAGGAGTAATAGGAATTGAAGAGGAAGATTGATTATGAATACAGTGATCTTGGGTGCTGTTAGAGGTATGAGGGCGGTTATCACTTCCCGGTTGCCCACACCGAGGAAGGGTTCTTCTGGAGGTACCTGAAAAGGAAATTGGATTAAAGGTGGTCTTAGTGACCTGAGAGCGTGACCGCAGAGCCCAAGGGACAACTGCTTGAGGCCGGTCGCGCACGGCCTTTTCGTGGGAGGTTTGTGACGTGTTAGCTCCGAACTTCAAAGGGCCTTACCGCCGGAGACGGAAATCCGTGAGGTAAGGTGAGGTGTGCATTTTTAGGGTCGACTTTTCCAACCCCATCCCTCCTTGTGGGAAGGCAGCATCGCTGTCATGCTGGTTGTCCGAGGGAAACACCTTGCTGCTGTCACACATCTCTACAGTCAGCAGTACGACTTCGCCCTCAGACCTTGAGTTGCTGCTTTTAGTCTTACCGTTCTCCAATCGGCCTGCCTGGCATGGTAGAACCTACAGGAACATATGTTCCAGCCAATATAGCTCGGTTGGGTCATCACGATAGGCAAGCCCGACCACCACGTCAAGGTAGCAACAACGGTCGGGGTATTTGATAATGCGGCAACATGGTGGACGAATTTTTAGCTTTATAAGTGAAATTGCGATAAAACTGGTTTTTAGTTCTTGAAAGATTAAGATAATGTATTTCTTTCTCGATAGTTTAATAAGGAGACGAAGATTATCAGGACTATGTGGAATATTAGCGTAATACATTTCGAACAATCTGATCACACATATACTTGTTAAGAGCATTTATATCTGAAGAATAAAAGGTCAACTAGACTAGAAACGGAGGGTAAGAGGAAACAGGGATCATAAAGAAAATTCTGTGGAAACAATTTGATACCTTATCACTCTGGATAATAAGCTAATATTACTAGGGTATGTTTAAGGTGGGAACAAACTCTTTTTGAATACTAACAAAGGTTTGAATTTTCGTATGCCTAAGGCTTCAATAAACCTTAGTATACGCACTTTTACATTTCTGTACAACACAAAATCAACGGTGATGTATTATGGGAGCTTCACTAGTTCATAGATGTTTTAGGTGAACCAGTCAGGGTATATGATAATTCTGAAAAACAAATAACGTATAAACATATTCTTGCTCACCGACTATTATGGGACCGCAGCTCCTAACGTTGCTATACAGCTTTGTGAATTAAACCTTTAGGTCAAAGGCCTCCTAGGAAATTCACCTGTCTGGGTTTGAGCAGCCTGGCAGTATCCTAGTCCACACACAAATCTAATGTTTACGACGGAAAAAAATTAATTTCGCTTCAATTAGCATTCTCACCAATTATACTCACAAATATTTGGTAATATTCGTTCTTATTTCATATTGAACCACTTGTCTACTCCTTTTTATTCTCATTATGTGCATTCTTTTTTTATCATTTTTTAACAGCAGCTCACATACGATGAAAACTCCGTCTTACCCAAACGATCTCACGTGACTGACTGATCGAAAGTTAAAAGCTACCACCGAATACAAAGTTTGAGACAGCGTTTCTGGAACTACGTATGCCATCCAAACTGGCTACTTTCAGCGTTCAAACACTAATGAAAATTGAATAACAGATAGGGTTGGGTATGTCGTGCTTGAAGACAATAACCTCTAGTCTGAGCCATGTTGGTCGATGCAGACTACTTGGTTGGGGTCCACGTGACTATCCTAACCAATGGTTGGAGACTCTTGGTGACATAGCGCAGAATCGACCACAATGGCGTAGGAGTATACACTCTCTGTGTCCCCTTAAACTAAGAGATTAAAACCGCTTCATATTTTATTTCTACTAACTAATTCTTTCTTCCTATACTATATCCTGATATGCAATCTTTCTCCTATATATTACCACCTAGACCTAACCACTGCTATGAATCCGGTGTTTATCTTGTGTGCTAATGCGGTATGGCAACCTGGGCCGACGCATATACGTGCCTGGTCCTACGTTGTAGCTGACTGACTGACTGGGTACGTCGTTAGAAAGTTTTAACATCAACGACCGCTGTCTACCTGAGAACCGTATTAAGGAACCTAGTTTGTTTCACGTCCGTTTATTCGCGGATCCTGTGACAACTTCGTCTAGGTTTGCTCGGATTAGTGTGGCACTAGGCATTAGACCCGAGGCACGACTAATTAAAGAATTATTTTATTTTCAACAACTAGATATTGATACAAGGAGGCACCAAATGCATATGCGCCACACAAATCTCATTCGATATGTGTAAGAGCTGTGATAATGTCCGGGTACCCAAACCGAAGCAGGTGGTTTTCTTAGGGGGCCACTCCCCGAGCCTTCGACCTAAAGATCTGATCCATAAGGCAGTGGAGCATCGTAAGGAGATGCAGTCCCATGGTAGCCGGTGACCAACAATTGGTTCATACGCCATTTGTTCCTTCACGATACTGGAGCCCATGTGCACCATTGGTTTGGGATCCGGTTAAAGCGCAAGACATTCGCTTTCGTCCTCTCATTTCGTAAACAACACTGATACCGCGAGAATGCAGTGAGTAGGACTTCCCTGGCAGAAGTTAAATACGCGTGGCCATGTGAGAGCATTTGGAGAGGGAGAGCTGATTCTCCCCCCCTCAGCCGCACCAGGACAAAAACTGGAAGCCCTGGACGTCAGTTTCTTTCTAGCATAAGACTCAGCAGTGCGCACCCAGTGTCCCGCCCGCGGGACTCGAACTTCGCGCGCGAACGCTTAACCTCTAGACCACTGAGCACAACAGATTACAACCCGGATATAATCAAGGACAGATTTTATCACAAGTTAAGTGATCTCCAGAAAGCGCCTGGAGATTAAAATTGCTTTGTACCGTTCTTTCTACCAAATAATTCTTTCTGTACTATATCCTTATATCCAATCTTTTTTCTTCATACCTTACTACCATTGAAGTAACTGTTCTGTGAATTCGGTGTTCATTTTGCTGTAGTAATGAGGTATGGCAACTTGGACCGATGCATATATGTGCCTGGTCCTACGTTGTAGTTGATTGACTGGTTCCTTCGTGGTATCAATCTGGCAGGAACAGGACCGAAGGATTCTAAAGAACGCAAAACTTTGAGATAAAATTTCAAAAAAACTTCAAAAATGGAAAATGAGATTTTTTGCAATTAGTTGAATAATATGGTGTATGTAATCCCAAGATGAAAATACAGGAAACTTAAAAAGTTTTAGAGTTAAGGCTTCCTCACCACGATTAATACTGCTATTCTATTTCGATTCTACTTATATTCATTAGGTTAATTTTATCTCGGTATGTTAATGTGATATGGCAGTTTGAACTAACACATATTTATGCCACCTTATATCAATTACTACTGCCTGACTGATTGTTCACTATACAGTCTCTTAAAGAATACCCGATTTAAATCAATGTGAAGGTGGGTTAATAAGAATTTCTCAACAACAAACAAACAAAAACGGGACTTACCATGAAGAGAAAGAAGCCTATAACTATTTGTGTGTGACCAAAGGCTGTAAAACAAGAAAAACAACATTATTCAGAACAAAAATAGTTTTACTCATGATAAATATTAATAAGCTTTTGTGGTTATTACGACGAAACGTGTATAACTCAAGTAATCACTTGTCGCAGATAAATATTTCGAAATGAATCTAGATATACTTTGTTACGACTGACATCGGTAAACTACTTAATAATATTAATAGAGTCAAATTATCCGATTTGCCGTTGAATCCATTTCCGATCGCATTATGACGCACTTAGTAGCATCTTTCAATTACCAAATATTTGTACCTGTAATTCTAAATATTTTATTATTTTATTTTAACGCATAAACATTGGTACAAGGAGGCACCAAATACATATGCGCCACACTAATCTCATTCCATATGTGTGAGGGCTGTGATAATGCCTGGGTGCCCAAACCGAAGCAGGTGGTTTTCTTAGGGGGCCACTCCCGAGCCTTTGACCAAGGGCCGGCCCACAGGGCAATGAGGCATCGTGAGGAGATGCAGTCCCACGGTAGCCGGTGACCAACAATTGGTTCATACGCCATTTGTTTCTTCAGGATACTGGAGCCCATGTGCACTATTGGTTTCCCGACCGAAGCTGCTACCTTGACGCGGTGGTCGGGCTTGCCTATCGTGATGACCCAACCGAGCTATATTGGCTGGAACATATGTTCCTGTAGGTTCTACCATGCCAGGCAGGTCGATTGGAGAACGGTAAGACTAAAAGCAGCAACTCAAGGTCTGAGGGCGAAGTCGTACTGCTGACTGTAGAGAGTGTGACAGCAGTAAGGTGTTTCCCTCGGACAACCAGCATGACAGCGATGCTGCCTTCCCACAAGGAGGGGTGGGGTTAGAAAAGGTCGACCCTAAAAATGTCACACCTCACCTTACCTCACGGATTTCCGTCTCCGGCGGTAAGGCCCTTTGAAGAACGGAGCTAACACGTCAAAAACCTTCCACAAAAAGGCCGTGCGCGACCGGCCTCAAGCAGTTGTCCCTTGGGCTCTGCGGTCACGCTCCCAGGTCGTCAAGATCAACACTAATCCAATTTCCTTTTCAGGTTCCTCAAGAAATACCCTTCCACGGTGTGGGCAGCCGGGAAGTGACATCAGCCCTCATACCCGTAACAGCACAAGAGACCAAGGTGGTCACATTCAAATCCTTCCTACACCTCCTAATACCTCTCTTATCTCCATGACTAACCCTCCTCACGTCTCTTTATCACCTCGCACCGCTAGGGCAAACGATTCGAGTACGTGGAACGCCATTCCTGGTCTCCTGAAACCACGCTCTAAACTACACGTAGGAGCTTTTAACGTACGAACACTTTGCCAAATAGGACAGCAGGCTTCCTTAGCTAAAACTTTAGAATCTCGCGCCATCGATGTGTGCTGCGTCTCCGAAACGCGCATACAGGATCCAAGTAGCGTCATTCATTTGACCTCACCATGCCAAAATAAAGAACCGACTCGATTTACGCTTCGTGTATCTGGAAGCCCTGATTCTGCTTCCCGTGGCCTCGCCGGCGTAGGTATAGCATTGAGTCCTAGGGCAGAACTAGCTCTCTTAGAGTGGATCCCAGTAGACAGTCGTTTGTGCGCTGTCCGACTGAACGGAACAGTAAGAATCCGGAAAGATAGGGACACTCGTCGTTGCCTCTTCGTCGTCTCTGCCTATTCTCCCACTGACTGCAGCTCAGATGATGTAAAAGATGAGTTTTACAGAAAGCTTTCGGACCTTCTCCGAAAAGCTAGCGCTCGGATGTAGTAATAGTGGCCGGTGACTTTAATGCTCAAGTAGGTAAACTAAGCGATAGGGAAAGACACCTAGGTGGATCTTATGGTGTCGTGGCTCAAAGAACAGATAATGGCGACCGTCTGTTGCAGCTATGCTCAGATAACCGCCTGTTCCTTGCAAATACTAACTTTAAGCATAAGGAAAAACATCTTTTAACATGGCGACCCCCTAATTCGTCCCAACGTTGGACCCAAATAGATCACATCGCTATCAGCCACCGATGGAGGGGCTCGATAGAAGACTGTCGCTCATTCTGGAGCACATGCCTAGATTCAGATCATGCTCTAGTGCGAGCGCGTATTTGCTTGCGTCTTACTGGACGTAGGAAAGACGCTGCAAGGAAACCTCTTAGGGCCTACTTAATGATAGTCAAGCTAAGAGTATATTTCAGGAACAACTAGGAAAACAGTTAGGCAGCCATGTATGTGATGCCCACCCCGATGCAGCATGGAATGATATCCGAAAAGCTGTGGAAACAGCAGTGATATCTGCTAGTAAGGTAAACCAGAAGGTTAGGGAGCAACACTGGATCTCAGCAGCATCTATCTCACTGATAGATGCTCGGAAACTCATTCCACCTGGCTCTGAACATAATGAAGAGCGGAGTCAGCTTAAGCGCAAGCTGACAAGAAGTCTACGCAATGATCGCGAACAGTGGTGGGTAGCGAAAGCAAGAGAGATGGAAAAGGCAGCGGCAATAGGTAATAGCAGACAATTGTTCAGACTCGTTAAGGAAACCGGAATTAGGAACCCGACCGTTAGCGAAACAATCTCAGAGAAAGATGGACATATTATTCATTCTCAATCCAGGAGATTGGATCGATGGGCAGAACACTTTAGGGATCAGTTCAACTGGCCTTCAGCCACACTTCGGTTTCCCACGATCTCTAGTCAACCTGAATGGCAAGTTAATGTAGGTCCTCCGTCCCTTTACGAAGTTGAAAAAGCCATAGGAAATCTGAAACGAGGGAGAGCAGCAGGCCCTGACAGGTTTACTCCTGAGATTTTTAAGGATGGTGGTCCAGTATTAGCAATGAGATTAACTGAGGTCTTAGGTAGAATTTGGGAACTGGACGTAATCCCATCTGACTGGTCTCAATCACTGATTGTGCCAGTCTATGCTGATGACATAGTTTTATTTGGTGAAGACGCTGACAAAATGCAGTCTTCTGACCACTCTAAGCAACAATGCAAGCATGTTCGGGATGCGATTCTCTCCCTCGAGATGCAAAATGTTGCTTCAGGATTGGGTTGCATCGACACCCAAACTAATGACGAGCGTTTCGACCGCTTCACTTATCTTGGAAGTCTCATCAGCCCTTAAGGTCTGGTGTGTGACGAAATCTCAGCACGGATACAGAAGGCTCGACTAGCTTATGCCAACTTGCGTCATTTATGGCATAGCAAGATATCCGTCTATCAACCAAAGGACGTGTTTGCTGTGCAGCAGTTCATTACGTCATACTTTATGGCAGTGAAACATGGCCGGTAAGAGTAGAGGATATTCGTAGGTTACTAGTATTCGATCATAGGTGTCTTCGAAACATTGCTCGTATATCATGGGACCATCGAGTAAGTAACGCAGTTTTTAGGAAACGGGTACTAGGTAAGGATGGTAAATTAATTGAAGTAGTGAAACTTCATCAGTTGAGATGGCTGGGACACGTGTTACATATACCCAACGACCGACTACCTCGACGAGCGATGTTCAGTGGTATAGGAGTAGATTGGAAGAAAGCAAGAGGCGGCCAAACCAAGGCAGTGAGTAGGACTTCCCTGGCAGAGGCTATATACGCGTGGCCATGTGAGAGCGGACTCTCCACACTCTCAGCCGTACCAGGGTATTTCGGGGCAATTCTAAATAAATCAGATGTACGTTTGTATCCCCTTAATCTCAACAGTTTCATTGGGTTTGGGATCCTTGGGTAAGATTTCAGGTAGTAAATCTGTCACATTCTACGTATCTGTGACACCTTCATACTCAGTAACCATATATTTATAGTAAGTGTGGGATGCACCATTACTTGACTAATTTTCAGGGTTTAGGAAAGTACATACTTTAGAAATATGAGTTTAGCTAGACGTATTTAGTACAAAATGGTTAGAAACCTGATACTTATAATCTGTTTCATTTCGAAGATAATACTACTTTTCAACAAATATGTGGTTTTGACACAGAATATTAAAAGACCAACTTACTAGGTGGTGTGTATAAATGATGATTTGTAAAATAGCTTATGAACAAAGCGAATCCAAAATAATATGAACAATTGACGAACAGATTACGCAATGGCATTGTAGCATGAGAAAACCGATGGACAAACACGGTTTCCAGTAGACGTTTAATGTAGTGGCCAGACCAACAAGCTAAAGCAACTCTTCTTAAATAGAAGTCAGATGACATAGGAGGAAGCATGTTATTTTTTAAAGAAGGTTGTCGAAGAAGCCAAACGATTGCATATATGATTAGTGGTCCTGTGTACTCTAATAAAAACACCGTACGCCAACCAATTTGTGGTCCAATATCCCTTAAATATAAATTAACACACCCAGATTTGTCCGTGTTTTCAAACTCAGATATTCGTTTGTTATCATCTATTGACTTTCCACCTTTAAGAAATTGGACACAAAAGTATTTTTAGTAGTAGGAAGCTTACAAGCATATTTAAAAATCTCATAGGAATTACTATGCAGTCTCAAGAAAGGTATTACGAAAAAAACTTGAACGAACATTTACGGTATGTAATAAAAATGAAAAGTTTTCAGCTACGTAGATTTAAATATATTTTGTTTGAAAACCTTGAATTATTTCCATCAAGAGCAGAGCTGAATTAATTCGTATCAGCAACCAGAAAGTCGATACAGTGTTGGGATTAATTTATTTTGGTAGTCCATTTGCATTACTTTAATTGCAAAACCAGTTCTTTTGAATTTCGTCACATCAGTCAGTCAGTTAGCTACAAAGTAAGACCAGGCACGTATATGCATCGGTCCAAGTTGGTGGATACGGAGTCCACCTAGAGTTGGAAAACCACAATCCCAAACCAATCGTGTACATAGGCTCCAGCATCCTGAAGGAACAGATGGCGAATGAACCAATCGGTGGTCACCGGCTAGCATGGGACTGCACCTTCTTGCGTTGCTTCACTGCCTTGTGGATTAGACCTCCAGGTCAAAGGCTCAAGGTGTGGCCACTAAGAAAACCACTTGCTTCGGTTTAGGCGCCCGGGCAGTATTCTAGCCCTCATACAAATCGAATGATTTATGCGGCGCATATCTATTCGTTGCCTTCTTGTACCTATATTTATGTTTAAATAAATAAATAAACAAGTGAAGTTGTCACAACTCATTAGAACAACAAGATGAACACCAGTCAGTCAGTAACAACGTAGAACTTCGTACGTACATACATCAGTTCGAGTTGCCACGCCACATTAGCACAGAGATGCAGTGGTCGATTCAAATCCCGTAGTGGTAGAGGTAATAAAGTATAGCAGTAATCGGGAAGATTAGGGTTTGGAGATGTTATTTAAAGAGTATAATCCAATGAAATAAATTTGGAGAGAGGAAAAAAGGGACATGAAGAATTCAGATTAGAATTTGGGAGAACACAGAGAGTGGATGCACCTGCGCCATTGCAAACGATTTTGAGCCATTTCATTCAAGGTCTATAACCATCGGTTGTTATCATCTCGCGGTCCCCAACCAGGTAGTCTACACCTACCAACACGACTCAGTCCACTTGTCAGTGACTTCATGGACTTGTGCCATGTTTTGGTTTGGCCGCCCCTAGCTTTCTTCCAACCTACTCCTATACCACTGAACATAGCACGTCGAGGTAGTCGGTCGTTGGGCATACGTAACACGTGTCCCAGCCATCTCAACTGATGAAGTTTCACTACTTCATCAATTGATTTGCCATCCTTACCAGATGAACACCAAATTCATAGTAGTGAATTCAATGGTGATAATATATAAAAGGAAAGTTGCATATAAGGATATAGTACGGAAAGAAAGAATTAGATGGTAGAAAGAAAGATATGAAGCGATTTTAATCTCATAATTTAAGGGAAGACAGAAAGCGTATACAACTACGCCGTTGTGATGGACTCTGAGCCATCACCCAGAGTCTCCGACCATAGGTTACGATAGTCACGCAGACCCCAACCAAGTAGTCTGCATCTACCAACACGGCTCAGACCAGAAGTTAGTGACTACAAAGAGTGATGGCACGTTATGATTTGGCCGCCCTAAACTTTTTTCTTACCATTCCCAACACTAGTCAGCATTGCGCGTCGTGGTAATCGGTGTTCAAGCATAAGTAACATGTGGCCCAATTGTCTCAGTGGGTGAAGATTTACAACCTGATCAACCGATGTATAATCATTGCCTAATACCCTACATCTAACCTCACTATTACTTACCTGGTGATCCCAGCAGATGCGAGCAATATTTCTGAGGCATCTGCGGTCCAATACTAGTAGTTAACAAATAACTTCTCTTAATGGCCACGTTTCACTGCCGTAAAGTAGAACGGAACGAACCGCTGCGCACTATACTCGTTCCTTGATTGGCTTTGCCATAAGTGACACCATTTGGCAAAAGTCAAACGACCTTTTCAAATCCGTGCTGAGATTTCACCAGAAACCAGCCTATTAGGGCTGATCAGAAAAATAAGTGGAGTTGTCGATGCGTTCGACTACTTCACTCCCTATACTTAGTTCAGGTGTTAACGCAGACCAGTCCTGAAGCAACAACTTGCATTTGGAGGGAGAGAAGCGCACCTCAAACATTCTGGCATTGTTCTTAGTGCTATCAAAAGACTCTGCATTTTATCAGCGTCTTCACCAAACAATACCCGAGAATTCAGTCGACGTGAGCGTAATTTCCAGCAGTAGGTCTATGGTGAAATTGAACAGAAATGGAGATAGTTGACAGTCTTGCCGAATACCATTTAAGGTTGAGAAATCAGATGACAGTTCGCCATATGCTCTGACGCGAATGGCAGTGTTCGTGTAGAGCCCTCACAAGGTTTGTGTACTTTTGAGGTACACCTTTCAATGACAGGTTTTGCTGGATAGTGGTCAGTGAAATTTCTTTATTAGCTGAATTGAAAAAGATGTAAGGCAGAACTATGATGGCGGGTATTTTATGTCGCAAATGCTGTATTATGACTAGTTTGTCAGGAATAATGATGAAGAAATCACGTGATAAGTCGAATCGCTATCTAAAATAGGACAAATGAGATTATCAGTGGTATGACCTAATGGAGACTAAATTGCAAGTCAAGTATTGGATGATCACGAATATTGCCAACTAAATGGCCATGAATATAGGATACTCGGAAGACTAATTGAAAGTTTCTCATACACACTTTGTGTCCCAGAAACATCTGCTCACATTTATTGGTAAAAACTAATTGTGGTGAGGTACTGTTTACAATTGATTGTGGGATAGTCCCAAAACTTACGAGGATCAAGACGAATACTCTGTCGGATTAATTGAGGCTTCTTTTCTGAAATTTTGATTAACAACAAAAAATGTGTTACTTTCCAGATAAATCCTATTTTTAAGGTCGAGAATCGTTGCATCAGTTGAGACCTATGTATATAGTGCAAGATTGATTTTTAAAAGGAACGTACATTCTCCCATGTAAGAAGTAGTTTGTCAGTTTTACACTCCCGAACAAATACCTGACAGTAATTAAGAACTACGAATGCTTACTTTCATCCTTATATGCAGATGGGAATTGCAATCCACAAGACGACCAAGGGGCACGGTTTAAACGTTAGGTCCTTTCGAAATACGTCCGCCCTTTCGTTTCAACGACCTTGAACGGCTTGACTAGAGGCGGTCATTCCGTATTTCAATTGCCGTGGGTTAGTTGGATTGCATGAGTATCAAGTTTTTTCATATATAAGTCATCTTATGCTACATAAAAAAGCACGAAATAAATACCAAAACCATTAATTTAGCGTCCTCTGTTTTGTAGTGTACACTTTGGCTTTGTTGTTGCTTTGTAATTTGATCTTTGATCCCAACAACTGTAGTAAAGCTCAACGAAATGTCAAGTCACAGGTAAATCCTAAGTATTTGTAGTATATCCTTGGTTTATTATTGTTGCAAGGAATAACTTTTTAATAATTAGTCATGTCTGTTTTTAGTGCTCCATGCTGAAGTGACATTTCAGTCGACCTAACCGATGCCTTTCGAAGTATGATACTGAACAAGCGTTTCGTGTTGTGGGATGATTTTGAAAGCGCCTTAAAAAAGTTCCAAAAAGTATGTCATTATAATTTTACCGCTTCTCAGACTACTTATACTCGTTACATCCACACAGAAAGCAGATTGGTGAAGGATGTCAGGTTCAAATACCTGTTTGTAACGTTTAATTGTACGTTTGGTCATAAACGGAAATCGGAAGGTTTGAAAGTGAGGAATAGTGTGCCCGACCAGGGGACCTTAAGCTTTCAAAACCACCCCCTACTATACAATGCAATACCAAACTTTGTTTAGTTCAAACACATTTGAAACTTCTTGGCAGTTATATTCAACTAATTGCTTCCAAAAACCCATCAACTCTGAGATGCAGGTACATCCAGCTGACGAGTCAGAAGCAGGAGGAAACGCGCGTCCTGGATCCCACTGCTAGCCACTATCCATCTTTGTTTACAGTGATGCATGTTTTTGTAGTCGTTCGAAAACAAGATATTGGCAGCCTGCTTGAATATCTGGGCTACCTGTTCCTCCGATCTAGTAATTTCATCCAGTTATCTGTTTTGTTGTTTGTTTTAGCACATCATTATGTCTATTGTGCGCACAATTTATTCAGGCGCGTTTATGAAAAGTTTTCAACCTTTCGCTATACGTGATACAAAAAGGTACAATGAACGACATCATGGTGGCTGGCAATACGCATTGAAACGAATGAACATTAATCAATTGTGGATTACCGAACTCCTAACATCTAACCGGTCATCATTCAAAATTTATCGTCACAATAGATAAAGGTATAAGAAAAGGAAACTTGTTGAAATACTTTATGCTGAGAATTCTATGTTGTACCAAAACTATAATGTTGAATAAAGCTTCTAATAAGAATAAGAAGAATAATAATGCTTGAGATGTGATTCTCTGTCCAGACTCGCGATTAGGCAGTCGTCAACATACGCATGTACGAAGTTGAGACCTCGAAAAACGTCGTCTATGAATCTTTGGAAGTTTTGTGCAGCGTTTCCTGGACCAAAAGGCATTCGCGAAAATTCATAGAGTCCGAAAGGAGTAATGATGGCGGTTTTCGGTATATCGTCTGCAGCCATAGGGATTTGGTTATACGCTTTAACCAAGTCCATTTTCGAAAAGACAGTTGTCCCTTTCGAGGTAGCTGTCAAATCGTGAATGTGAGGCAACGGATAACGATCGAAAATGGTTTTCGCGTTCAAGCGCCGATAGTCACCAGTTGGACGCCAATCGTTGCTGTTCTTTTTAGGGGCCATGTGCAACGGAGATCTCCATGGACTATTGACGGTCTTATGATATCTGAGTCTATCATGTGGTCAAATTCGTTTCTGGCCAACCTCAGCTTTTCGGGAGCCAGTCGGTGTGCTTTCGAGAATACAGATGGTCCTGTGGTCGTGATGTGATGTGTAACGTTGCTGGTTACACACGGCAATTTTGGTTGCGTTTAGTGTATCCCAGGATACTCATCGAGTAGTGGTTGACAGATCAAGTTCATCGTGTGCTTAATTGTGACCGAAGATAATCTACAACCGGAAAGGGAAGTTGCGCAAACAGATAAATTGATGTTTCCGTCTACTAGCCCCTGTTTACGCGTATCAATGAGTAGATTGTGATGCTGTAGAAGGTCTGTATCAATAGAAACATCTGCAACAACGAAAATCCAGTGAACGAGTTTGCGTAAACCCACGTTAAGGTAAACGTACCTTTCGCCATACGTAGCGATAGGCTTTCCGTTTGCTGCCTGTAAGGTTAAAGCCGATTCGTGAAGCCGGTCGTTGGGATTCGCTGGGAGAACGCTAAATTCTGCGCCAGTATCGACGAGGTAGCGAACTTGTGTTGTCACATCTGTGACGTACAACAGACGGCTATGTTCGCCGGCTACGGTTGCCGTTAACGCGTGCCGGCTTGGAAGTCTCCCGAGTTGTTTTTCGTACCGGTCCGTTTTGAGTTGGGAAAATTGCAGGATGTTTTGCGACTTTCTGGAAGTCTTTCCAGCACCAGTCGGGATTATCCGTCTCTCGTGTTCTAGAGACAGGTCGCCTACGTGAAATGCTTCTACGTAGGGTGTGACCGCTTACGGTCGTTACAAAATTTCAGACAACGCGCAAGTGTATGACATAACTCTGTCACGTCATTCTTGGTCGCTTGAGGTTTTCCTTTGACTGGAAAAACCTCGGTATAAGAAGATTTGGTGATTTTTGAAATGCAGTCGACAGATGCAGCCAGCTAGTCTAAGGCGTTATTATGAAATAAGACAAGCACAGCCTGCACTTGTTGAGGACGTTTGGACAAGAAAAGGTGTCTGAATAGGCCATCATCGAAAGTTCTTTGACCGATAACCTTTCTCATTCGTTGCGATATGTCCGTCGCAGAATCGTGTTGCAGGTTGATGTTATTGAGGAGTTGGTTTAACCTTTGTCTATCGGTTAGGTCCACGCGTTTAGAAATAGAACGTTTCAGCGTTTCACAAGGATCCGAGACATCACTAGTAAACATACTAGGTGTTCCGCACCCGTTGAATTGGCGCGGTAGTGCCTTTACTACTGCGAGGAATTGTGCACGTGTGTCAATCACGCCGTTCCCAGAGAAGTCGGCTTCTGTGTAGCAAAATCAGGCTTCGATGTTGTCTGGCCAGAAGGGCATCAGCTGAAACGAAGGTGTGGATATAGTCTTAAGCTTAAGTACTTTGGTTGTCTGTTAAGTCATGATGAAATATGAAGTACGAGAATGAACGTGGGAAAAATATATATTTATATTCAAAAAGCACGAAAAAATATCACAATGTATAAAAATTAAGATAAATCAATGATATTTAGAATCTCAAAATGGAACAGACTCATAGTTTGTGATTTGGTGTACCAGATCACGTTAAGCCAACAGAATCTACCCTACGATCTGAGAATTCGACTCTTATATACAGTAGATGCCATACGAAGACACGTCAATAAATTCTATGTTTGTACACTGAACGTGTTCATATAGCCTCTGAATCTATCCTGACCTTGCATTTAAATAATATTATTTGTTTCTAATCTTTTCTATTTCTTCCTTTACAAAACTCACGGAACCTCAATTTCTTTAACTCTTTAATTTCTCATTTTGATCCTACGTAACCTGTTTATGAATTTGATTATGCCATTTTCACTTCATCCGTCCTAATAATCACTTATCATTTATTTCACAGAAAACAAAACCATTCATGTTCGCATACAGTTTCAATTACTGTTTACATTCACATTCACAATAATGGAAAAAAGGATACAAAACGAACTATCTGATCACCTACTTAAGGAAGATCTAATAGATCCGTAACAACACGGCTTCATTAGAACAAGGTCGTGTCTGATAGACTTCTTTACCAACGTTTCTTGCATACGTGACCAGAATAAACTATATTTTGATAAAGTACCTCATAGTCTTCTAATCAGCAGACGCAAGTCAGTTGGAGTTATAAATCCTCTTTTCCAATGGATCAAGTCTTTTCTTACGAACAGATACCAGATAACCAAGATTAACTCTACAACATCTACACCTCGGCCAATAACCAGTCGTGTTGTGCAGGGTAGTGTCTTGGATTCTTTGCTTGTTACAGATTACGTCAACAATATATGCAAGTGCTTTGGCACAGGTAAGACTTAACTCTACGCTGATGACTTAAAAGTCATCTATATAACTGAGATTCGCGATGTACACAGTACTATGCAAACAATCCAACATGAACTCAACATGGTAGACGACTGATGCAAACGCTGGAGATTAGAGCTCAACAAAGAGAAATGTGGCCGGTTATGTACAGGAGACACGTCTCTTAAAATAAGACTAACACTTAACAACAACACACTCCCCAGACTGGCATCAGTAAATGTTCTAGGGATACATTACTCACACAGTTTTAATTTCTCTGAACCCATCTCAGCCAAATCATCAAAAATGAGGAAATTACTTTGCTTCATTCTCCGTAGTTTCTATCACAATGAATCTACAATCCTTCTTCATAAAGTTTGTGTAATACCTATCTTTGAATACTGCATGTTTTTTTTTCCAACCTACGCTTATCTGGTATACTAAAGATGGAAGGAATACAACGAGACTTCACCCGCAAAATACTCTAGACTGAATCGGTCATTGACTGCAGTTCCCGATTGCCCTTTGGAAGAGAAGGTTTAAGTCTAATTTGATTCTCTACCTCGAAGTACTCAAAAATCTAAGAGAGTTAGATAAATCAGTTGCAAACTACTCACATGAAATTTTCGCATTTACTTCCATGTAGTTTGTGTACAGTGTTATCAAATAAAACATTTAATCGATAAGTTCGTCAATCGACTATATGCGTGGGTGGTAAGAAATGCCCAAGCATATATCTTCTTACAAGCTCTAAAAAGCTAAAATCACAAAATATGAGTTTTGGGGATCTAACGTCCTCAACGCTCCTCCCCTTGTTTACACCGTTCGTTCCTGTAGTCGACTTGCATCTTGACTGTTGCTCGCCGCTGTTGGAGAGGCCACCGTCTGGAACGTGTTTCAGCTTGCTGTTGAAGTTTTTCTTGTGGTGGAGTTGCCGGTAAGTTGAATGTGTCTAGCGGG